CACTTTAGCTAGAATGGGAAATCAGAAGCATTGGTGAAAGCTGACAGGGCTTTGCAGAGGAAGTATTACCAAATGTTAAACCCAAAGAGAACGGGAATGAAGAAACCTAAACGGAGTTTAGACATTTAGGGGGTTGAGAAGAGAGTAGATGACTGGAACCTATGGAAAAGAGTCTGGCAGAGGATAGAGGGTGAGGACTGGATGGACATGTGTATGTCCTGGAACTCTCCTTTCAGATGGCTCCCAGGACAGCATGGCAACCCTAGAGACAGTGAGCATGAACAACTGATGTCTGTCTTCAATAGCCCCATCGAGCGAGGGCAGACATTTTCAGAAAGCTGTTCCATGAAGGAATGATTCCCTAGAGATATTTCCTCGAAAAAAGTGGGCTGAATTGCGGTGATGGCCATAGGGAGGGGGTGCAGGCACTGGGTGGAGGTGGGTAAAGGGTGGGAGGAAATGGGGACGTCTGTAATAGTGTCAAAAATAAGATTAAAGTTTTAAAAGAAAAAAAAAGCGGGCTGAATTCTCAGTGGACATGGGGTTGGAGACTAAGGCTTTCAAAGAGATAGCTAATGTTTGTGTGTAAAAAATTTCTGAAGAAATACATTATAGTGGTTGCTTTTAGAGAGAGCAGGTGGGTGGCTGGGGGATGGGAGGGGAAAAAGACTTTTCTCAGTATAATTTTTTGTACATTTTGAATTATTAACAAAGCAAATGTAACATCTATTCAAAACAAAAGATTTTTAAAAGGAGGCTTAGGAAATACACGGAAGGAAAACATTTTATTGCCCTTTCCCACATCTCTCTGTATTTCCAAGTGAGACAGCCCTGCTGATAGGTGGGGCTGCTGATATTTTTATGGGGAATAAACTAGTTTGTCCCCCTGCTGTCCTAGGACCACTGTACCTTCTTAAGGTGCATGCACCTTACTCATGTACTGAGTCACTTCTCTGCCCTATTTTTAGCTCAGTGAAGCCACCCTCCTCCCATACTGTAAGAGACAGAGGAAATACAGTTCTCAAGGGTTTAATTTAATAGGTTCAATCCCTGTGATTGTATGGCATTCTGAGTGAAATTACCTGGGGCAGAAGGAAAGATGGGAAAAGGAGAAAGAAGAGTCCATACTTACGGGAAAATGGACAGTCCAAAATTATAAGCTCAAAAGAGAACATCCATACCCCCTTCATTTCAGGGCAGGGCTTGGAGCCAGCCTCAGAACAGGAAGCCACAGACACCCACTTCTCTGTCGGTACCATGAAAGCACAGAGAAAGGGCTGAGGTGGGGCTGCTCCAGGCTCAAAGTCCGGATTTAGGGCTGCAATCTCATTTCTACCTGTAAGGTTGTGTGACCTTGGTCAAGTGGCTTCCACAGTCTGAGTACAGTATTTTTTTTTTTTTTTTTAACAAAATTAGGTGACTGAATGGGTTGATGGCCTCCAAATTTTCTTCCAGTTCCCGCATCCTATAATTCTAAATCTAAGGAAGTCATGCTATATAATTTTATAGCTTTTCCTACCAGGAATTTCACTTCTGGGCTTTTGACATTTGTTTCTTGGCTCTATTTTCAATTTTTTAACTTTGCAAGGTAGAAGCTAGAGGAGGAATGTAGGAACTGGTGAGAATTCAGTGATCTTTGTGTCTGGGTCACAGGGTAGGGTTTCAACAAATAATTGAGCATTTACTATGTACTAGTTAAGCAGTTTTCAAATTTTGTGATCTCAGGACCCCTCTACATGCTTAAAAGTTATTGAGGACCTCCAAAAGCCTTTTTTTATATGAGTTATGTCTATAGATATTTACTGAATTAAAAAGTAAAACTGAGAAAATTTAAAACTATTAATTGATTTAAAAATAGCCACAATATTCTGGCTGGTGTGGCTCAGTGGCTGAGTGTCAACTCATGTACCAAGAGGTTGCCGGTTTGATTCCCGGTCAGGGCACATGCCCAGATTGTGGGCCCTATCCCCAGTGGGGGGCATGCAGGAGGCGGCCAATTGATGTTCTCTCTCTCCTTCTTCCTTCCTCTCTCTCTAAAATTAGTAAAGAAAAAAGTTTTAAAATAGCCAAAATAAACCAATTACATGTTAACATTAAAGAAAACCCAACTGTATATTCACAACAAAAATAAATTACTGAGAGGGATGGGATTGTTTTACAATTTTGCAAATCTCTTTCGTGTCAGGCTTAACATAAAACAGCTGGATTATCATGCCTAGTTCTGCATTTAATCTTTTGCTTTGGTGTTTGTATTAGTTTCCTGGGGATGCTATAAGAAATCACCACAAACTTGATGGCTCAACGCAATAGAAATGTATTCTCTTACAGTTCAAGAGGCCAGACATCCAACCTCAGTTTCACTGAGCAGAAATCAAGATGTGGGCAGGGAAGTGCTCCCTCTGGAGGCTCTAGAGGAAAAATCGTTCCTTGCCTCCTCCCGATTTTGGTGGCACTGGCATTCCTTACTATGTGGCTGTGTGGTTCTAATCTCTGTCTCTATCTTCACCTCAACTTCTCTTTTGTGTGTGGTCCCTAGTCTCCCTCTGCTTCTCTCTTGAAAGGACTTGGTGGTGGCATTTAGGGCCCACCACGGCAATCCAGGATTATCTCTTTATCTCGAAATCCCTCTAATCACGGCTGCACAAGTTTTACTATATAAATCAACATTCACAAATTCCAAGGAAGCCATTATTAGCCTACCACAGGGTTGTTATTTTGTTTGAAGTTTATGAAGAAAACCTGTCTCACACAGATATGTAGTTTAGGAAAAAAGTATTTTTTTTTTTTTATCCTCACCTGAGGACATTTTTCGATATTTTGTTCAGATAGAGTGGGAGGGAGGGAGGAAGGGGGGGGGGAGAGAGAGAGAGAGAGAGAGAGAGAGACATCGATGTGAAAGGGACACATCGAGTGGTCGCCACCCACATGACCCAACCAGGGCTGGGGACAAACTGCAACCAAGGTACGTGCCCTTAGCGGGAACCGAACCCGGGTCTCTACAGACCGCAGGCCAGCGCTCTAACCGCTGAGCCAAACCGGCAAGGGCTAGGAAAAAAGTATTTTAATACCCTTTTCAATTGTGGATATTCTTCTTTGATACAACACCACAACTCAACAAGAAGTAGTTTCCTCTTCTTCTTTTTTTTTAATCCTCACCTGAAGATACTTTTGCATTTATCTTCAGATAGAGCGGGAGGGAGAGAGGGAGGAAGAGAGAGAGAGAAACATCGATGTGAGAGAGGCACACTGACTGGTTGCCACTCGCACGACCCCCACCGGGGTTGGGGACAAACTGCAACCGAGGTATGTGCCCTTAGCAGGAATTGAACCAAGATCTCTTTGGTCCGCTGGCCGATGCTCTAACTGCATAGTTGTTCCAGGATAAAGTATGAGATTAAAATGTTTTGGCCCGGCCAGTGTGGCTCAGTGGTTGAATGTCGACCCATGCACCAAGAGGTCACCAATTTGATTCCCAGTCAGGGCAAATCCCCAGTGGGGGGCATGCAGGAGGCGGCCAGTCGATGTTCTCTCTCATCAATGTTTCTCTCTCTCTCCTTTCCTCTCGCTAAAATCAATAGAGAGAAAAAGATTTAAAAAATGTTTTAACACTTTATTTCCACACCCCTGTGTTTAGAGGCCAAGCATCTATATATATAAAAGATCTTTTTCAAGTATTAGTTGGTGCTTGTATTTGATAGATACAAGCAAAGCAACAAGTCTAGCTACATCTATAATTGTATAATTGTTGTCTATCAGAAAGGCAGCATAGCTCTGCAGGTGAGATGTTAACTCAGTCTTTGTGTTTGAAACTAATTTTCTAATTTGGTGAGTCACTGCATCTTTGGAAAGCAGCACTGCCACGGTGTCTTTGGCTGATTTTTCATATAGCAGGCATTCACTGGGTACTGTACAGGCTTTATTAGCATTTCAGCTATTGTGTGCCCTTCTCTAGCCAGTGCAATACAATAATTTAACCTGTAAGATGCTTCAGTGGGGTTTTCCTTTCTAGTTTGAAAAGTGGTAACAACAACAACAACAAAAAGCTTCGGCTTTTAACGATCTTGTCACGTTTAAAATCTTAAATTCCCTTTCCTTTAAAGGAAGTTACTGTTCTCAAAATGATGCCTCAACTTTACTGAGAGGATGAGAGTAGAAACAACAAATAACATTTAAGTAATATGAGTGTAGTTTTGAGTGTGGATCCCGGGAAGGGTCTCAGGGACCCTCGGAATCACCAGATCACACTTTGCGATCCACTGTACCAGATCCTGTTCTAGGTAGAAACTGGGGTAACAGCAATAGATGCCTTCTCTGTAGGAAGGTGAGTATTTGCGTGGTGGCAGCTGTGATGGTTGCACAGGCCATGGGGGAGGGGCGGGCAGGGTCAGCTACCCCTTCGTGCCCACCGGGCCTGGTAGTCGGCTCCAGGAGGCCTTCCAACTGCCAACCGCTCAGCGCAGACGGCCGCGCGACCACCTGCCCTTCCGGAGGGTGGATGCGAAGCGACGCGGGCACGAGTGGCCCCTACGCCGCGGCTTTGAACCCGGCAGGACGGATGCTCAGGACACCCGTGCTGTCTGCCGCTCAACAGCGCCAGGGCGCCCAGCACGCGGGGCCCGGTCCCTCGAGGTGCGGCGGGGCTGTGAGCGGTGGCCGAACGGCGGCCAGAGACACGCCTCCCGACGCGGTCTCGGCAGCGCGCGGGCGGCTGCACGGAGGGGAGCGCGGGGACGCCGTGTAAGCCGGCGGGTCGAGCGGCACCCCCGGCGGACCCAGCCCTGCGCGGGGCCTCGCGTCTTCCTGCTAACGCAGGACGTCAGCCTCGCGCCGGCCGTGCGCGCGCCGGCCCCGCGGCCTCTCGCGCCCCCCGCGGCCTCGTCGGGAACTGCGCGGCGCTTGTCCACGCGGGACACGAATAAAGATTTCTTCTTCAAACAAACAGGAAGTGCCTACGGAGGCCGGGCCGGCGGCGGGGCACGGGCCGGGCATGAAGCCGGGCGGCGGCGGCGATGAGCGACATCGTGGAGAAGACGCTGACGGCGCTGCCCGGGCTCTTCCTGCAGACCCCGGGCGGGGGCGGGCCGGCGGCCGCCCAGGCGGCCTTCTCCTCGCGGCTGGGCGGCCTCATCCGCGGCATCACCGCGCTCACCTCCAAGCACGTAAGTGCCAGCCGGGCCCGAGGTCAGGGCGCCGGGGAGGCCCCCGCGCGGGGAGCCTGCGCCCGCCGGCCGGCCTGCGGCGGGCCCGGAGCGGGGTTCGGGGCGCCTGTGCGTTTGTCTGGAAGCGGCACTTCCCTGCCCGCCTGGCAACTGGGTTTCCACAGTTGGCCCTGACACTGACTCGTTGAGATCTGCGGGCAAATCTCCTTTAATTTTGTTCTTCCCCATGTTCCCCCGACGTTGAAGTAGGAAAGTACCAGTATCTATTTCTTAGGTGGTTTCGAGGATGAGACGAGACATCGAGCGTGTGAAAATACAATAGGAGTTGTCAGCATCCGCCTTCTGCAAAGTTTCTTTCCCTGCCCGGGTTCTTCCCCTCCCCCAGTTCTTTCATCTGCTGATGACACACGGTGGAACAGACCCTTCCATCTGCACCTGTTGTGACCTGTCTTTGGGGAGCTTGAGGTGTTTGGTTAGACCAGTGGGTGGGGCAAGGAAAAAAAAGCATAATTCTTCCAAAATGTAAAATTTGCTGAGTAAGTCATTGCCTCACATGGGCTTTGACAATGAGCAGTTATTTCACAAGTTCTAAGTTCCCCAAAGACTTTTGGTAGTTGTATAGATTATGTTAAAGCTTCATGGAGCTTCTATCTTTAACAAATCATTTTATGTTATAATATGTTCAGAAGATACTGATGGAAGAGGTTATGTGTTAGACACCCAGGGAACAGAAAAACACACTTCCTTTTCCCAAGGGCTTGGTCATTCATCTTGGGCTTGAGACAAGTGTGAGCAATATACGATGATATAAGTAGCAGGAGAGAGGAAAAGAGAGAAAGTTTTTCTTCAAAGTGCTCTGAGTGTTTAAAATGTTCTTTTAAAACTGAAATAAGATGATGCTGTACTGGGGAGGGTCTGCTTCATATTCACAATTTGTTATTCGTGGATTTATTATTGTTTGTCTTAATGTTTTGTCCTTTGCTGATTTTTATAAGATGCTGACTGAAATTAAAAAAAAAAATTTTTTTTTTGGTCCCAAATTGCAGTACTTTGCCAGTAGTTCTTGATTAGCCCCCTAATGGACATCTGCTAATTAAGTGTATAAATTAAAGATAGCATTATATTAGCAAAAAATGGGGCCAATTTTCAAGTGCTTTTAAGGAGGTAAAATACAATGCAGAGAGTAGAAGTGACCACATTGGTCTATTTATTGTGTTAGAGAGATGGAAAGTGAGGGAAAAAATGTAAGGAATAAGAAGGATAGAAAAGGAAATTTTGTTTCTGCCTTCTTACCCTATTTATCTATTCCATGAAGACTTTTTAAAAACAGTATATATATATATATATATTTAAAAAAAACTTGTTTTCCTTTATTGATGTTAGAGAGAGAGGAAGGGAGAGGGAGATAGAAACATCGATTGGCCTGAATGAGAATTGAACCAGCGACCTCTTGATACATGGGTCACCGCTCAGCCACTGAGCCACACCAGCCGGGCCCATTAAGACTTTTTAATTTTAAGGAAAAGGCGTGAGAACCTTATTGTGGGCCAGTACATGAAGAATTTCTTTTCTTTTTCTCCACTGTTAATTTTTTAAAAAATCATCTTTTCTACTAAACTGTCTTTAAGGGGTCAGTAACTGAGTGAAGAAAAGAGGAAGGTGGTTTAGACTGAAAATAGTTATTCTTACCAGGAATGAGTCTGAGAATTGGAGAAATGCCTTTAAGCAAATCTTAAACACATACTTGTTATAACTCTCCTTTAAAATAGTGTTTCTTTTTATCAAAAGTATTATATTTTCCCTTTAAAAAATACAATTACAGTTTAAAAAGACAGTTACTTGTGCATTTAAATATTTTCACTCTTTTCAGGAGGAAGAAAAATTAATCCAGCAAGAACTGAGTAATCTGAAAGCAGTGGTTTCTGCTCCTACAACAACACTGGTAAGTTTGCATAGTCTGTGCCAGCACATTTGGAATTTGAAATCTGGTCCACTGTGGACTCCATAGTGACATCTGATTGATCACTTGCTAAAATCTAATTTATCGTAGTCACAATCAGTTATGGATGGTAGCAAGTGAGATGTGAACTTTAGCCTGTTATTATTGACTGGCTGCACGGAGGAAGATCTCCTTGACTGATGTCTATTTAGTGCCAAGGTGATGATGATTACATATATGTGGCACTACTCCTGGGGCCCCAGTGCTGACCTTACTCTTTTAATATTGCGCCCTGGGAAAAGATGAGTATATATCATTTAAAAAAATATTTTCAGAACCAAATGGATATATTGTAGATCTCATTTTACTGTTATATATCTTGGAGTATAAGTTGACTGACTGATAAGGTGAAATAAATGGTTTTCTTGCTGTAAAACTAAGGGTATTGGTTGGTAGCTAAGTCAGAATTCATTTGTTTTTAAACTTGGTTTTATATAATTAGATTTTTCAAATAACATTTCATCAACTTTTTAATGAGTGACCACTATGTGCAGGTCACTGTAGGACTGATTGTTCCTACATAGTTAAAGACCTAGGTGGGTTATTTTTTTCTTTCCTAATTTTTTTTTTTTATCCTCACCTGAGGACACATTTTGCATTTATTTTCAGATAGAGAGGGAGAGAGAAAGAGAGGAAGAGAGAGAGAGAAACAGCGACGTGAGAGAGACACACTGTGTGGTTGCCACCCACAGGACCCCTACTGGGGCCGGGGACAAACCGCGAGTGAGGTACATGCCCTCAGCGGGAACCGAACCCAGGACTCTCTGGTCTGTGGGCTGACGCTGCAACCACTGAGCCAAACTGGCCAGGGCTCTTTCCTAATTTTAATGTGGTTTCACATAATTAGATTTTTCCAAGCAATATTTATTCAGCAAAGATTTAGTGAGTGTTGTCTTTATATAAGTCACTGTGGGAATGTTCTCCTTCTTCTGATAAAAATATCAGGTGATTATTTTGCATGAGTGCATGCATATACATGAATAACACTTGTAAAGTCTGAGAGAATGTATACATTTTCTTTTATGATAATAATATGTGGACAAATGAAACTCAAAACATAACTAATCTGATATATCTGTGTATTATGTATATATGTTTGTGTACATGTGTCTATATGTGTATAAAATCATTGCATTTCATCGTACCTGATAGAAATGTTAAGCAGAAATGGTTTCCCTCTTTTTACTTTGTTAGATTTCCATAATTGGTATAATTTCCATAATTTTCTATAATTGGCATCAATAAATATCATTTTTCTTGCTATCAGGCATAAACCCCATGAGGGCAGAACTAAGAAAAATAGGTAGAAGTTAGGAAGGAAGATTTTTATCATTATGGCCATCCAATTCTGGACATGCTTTACAGTGTAGTCTGTCCCTAAAGTGGTCATGAAGAGGTTGGGTGAGTTTGTTAGACAATTGTAAAGAGAATTCCTGCAATGGGGGATATACTTCTTCTCTAAAAATAAGAGAATAGCATTGTATGTAATATTTTAAGTTCATAATGACTTTTGAAAAACTGAACTAAATGTTACAAAGCCAGGGTGGATAATTAATGGCTTAAATGAACACTTTCACACCTAATTGATATAGAAACCTTTTAAGAGGTACTTCTACTATCTTTTTTTTTTTGTACTTCTAGTATCTTATAAGCTTGTTTTCTCAGTATTTAAAAGTCTTAATGTGTTAATGATTTAACTTATATTACTTTAAAAAAACAAATGAAAAAATCTTATTCCCTTAAGATTTTCCTATGGTTTCTTTTTAAACTCTTCATATTTAACATATACATATATAAATGAAATATTAAACATTATTATCCTTACTTTAAAATATTTTATTGTTTTCTAAGGATTTTGTGATTTAGTAATTCTGGAATATACTAACCTTAATTAATTTTTAGATATTAAAACAATCTGTGAGCTTTTCTTATTTTGAAACACATATTGAGAATACTCAATGATGCAAACACTCAAAAATGCAAATATTATACTAATAAAACAAGTTTATAGAATCTCCTAACACATCTTATTTGCTTGTGCTGTAAATATTGAAAGACCTAGTTAAAAAATTAAATATTGAAATGGCTTTACCATTAATGAAATCATGTCTTTTATTTCAAAATAATTGCGAGTATTGCAGAAAAGGGATGTCTATAAGGCAGACTTACAAACAGCATAATAATTCTGAAGAAAGTCTACATGAAATTTGATCTTTAAATGTGAAAAATATTTCACTACAGAAATTCTTACCCACTTGTGGGAATTTTATGGATGTTTTTCTTTGAGAAAATAAAATAGTGTGCTGCATTCTAGAAGCCAAGTCAGATTACCATAGATAAAATTTTGTCTGAGGATCTTGTGTCTCACATTATAAATAAATTTTACACTAGGGGCATCTAGAATTATAAATAGCCACAGTTGATTTATAGTGTTGCCACTAACAAAACATTGTAATTATTTTACTAAAATAGAATACTGTTGATAGTTACATTAGGGAGCAACTTTTTTTGCTGTTAATCCTCAGCAGAGGATATTTTTTCCACTGATTTTTAGAGAGAGTGAAAGGGAGAGAGGGAGCAGGGGAGAAAGAGAGAGAGAGAGAAACATGGATGTGAGAGGCACATCAATTGGTTGCTTCTTGTACGTGCCCCAACCAAGGCTGGGGATCGAACCTGAACTCAGGCACATGCCCTTTACCTGGAATCGAAACCGAGACCCTTTGGTTCATGGGCTGACTCTCTAACCACTGATCAACATTGTCCAGGGCTAGGGAGCAACTTTAAAATATATATATTTGTTTTTATTGATTTTTTTAGAGAGAGTGGGAGGGAGAGAGAGAAACATCGATTGGCTGCCTCCTGCACACCCTGCACTGGGGATCAAACCCACAATCCGGGCATGTGCCCTGACTGGGTATCAAACCGGGACCTCTCAGTCCATGGGACGATGCTCAATCCACTGAGCCACACTGGTTGGGTGCAACTTTTATTTATAAAGTCTGACTTCAGCTGATTAATATACGATCATACACACACGCACACACATATATATATATATTCTCTTTTCAGTGCCAGCATTAAAGGATTCCCCTGTTAAATGATTACAATATAATAACAAAAAATCAAAACATTCTGTTTATTTACACAGTTACTGGATATTTTGCTTTTCAGAAAATGATGAAGGAATGTATGGTGAGACTTATATATTGTGAAATGCTTGGATATGATGCTTCCTTTGGCTACATACATGCAATCAAGTTGGCACAACAAGGAAACCTTTTAGAAAAAAGAGTAGGTATGTATGTGTGTAAGACTTAATCCTGTCCTTAAAGTGGTGGGTATATAGTATATTTTTAGAACATTGCTTTGTACTTTCCAAAGCTTTACAAAGGTAACTACCTCAAAACTTAAAGCCTATAAATAAAGTCAGTTTTCCTGTTTCATAGCATTTTGGAGTTATAGAGAAGACTAAAAATTGCCTGTTTTTTTGATGGTGGTTGGTTGACTATATATATTTGTAAAAACTCATTAAACTATACACTTAAAAATGGGTGAATTTTGCCCGGCCGGTGTGGCTCAGTGGATTAAGCGTCATCCCATGGACTGAGAGGTCTGGGTTCGATTGCTGGTCAGGGCACATGCCCAGGTTGTGGGCTTGATCCCCAGTAGGGGGCATGCCGGAGGCAGCTGATTGATATTTCTCTCTCACATCAATATTTCTATCTCTCTCTCAAGAAAAAAAGAGTGACTTTTCTTGTATACAAATTACATATAACTAAGTAAAGCTAATTTTAAAAAGTCTGTCTAGCTTCATCAGTTTAATGATCAGAAATCTTTCTTTATAGAATAAAACTGAAATTGACTTGAATAATTATAAATATCCTGTTCTCAGTTTCACAAATGTTAGCTATGAAGATTAGAGGCATTGTTTTATTTATTTTTTATCCTCGCTTGAGGACATTTTTGCATTTGTCTTCAGTTAGAGTGGGAGGGAGAGAAGGGGGAAGAGAGAGAGAGAAACATCAATGTGAGAGCGACACATTGACTGGTCTCCACCCACACGAGGTCGGAGACAAACTGCAACTGAGGTACGTGCCCTCAGTGGGAACCAACCTGGGACTCTCTGGTCCGTGGGCCGATGCTCTAACCGCTGAGCAAACCGCCAGGGCTTATTTATTTATTAATTAAAATTTTTTCTTGATTAGAGAGAGAGAAATATCAATTTTTATGTTCCACTTATTTATGAATTCATTGGTTGATTCTTGTATGTGCCCTGATGGGATCAAACCTGTAACCTTAGCAAATGGGGACGTCACTCTAACCAATTAAGCTACCTGGCCAGAGCCTAGAGGCATCTTTAAAAATTTTTTTTTGTTTTTATCTTCACCTGAGGACATTTCTCCATTTTTTTTTATTTTTTTTATTTTTTTTATTTTTTTATCCTCACCTGAGGACATTTTTCCGTTTTTTTTTTGTTCAGGTAGAGTGGGAGGGAGAGAGAGGAACAGAGAGAGAGAGAGAAACATCGATGCGAAAGGAACACATCGAGTGGCTGCCACCCGCACAACCGACCAGGGCCGGGGACAAACTGCAACCGAGGTACGCGCCCTTAGCGGGAACCGAACCCGGGTCTCTCAGGACCGCAGGCCGACGCTCTAACCGCTGAGCCAAACCGGCCAGGGCTCCATTTTTTTATTCAGACAGAGCAGGAGGGAGAGAGAGAGAGAGAAACATCGACATGAAAGGGACACATCGACTGGCTGCTACCCACACTACCCAATCAGGGCTGGGGACAAACTGCAACCAAAGTACATGCCCTTAGCGGGAACCGAACCCAGGTCTCTCTGGACCATAGGCCAATGCTCTAACTGCTGAGCCAAACCGGCCAGGGCTCTTTAAAAAATTTTTGTCTGTGTAATCAACCTTTAGGGCTATTAGGAAAAATCTGTTCAAGGACTTAAAACTTTTTTTTTTTTTTTATCCTCACCCGGGAATACTATTCCATATTTTGTTCAGATAGAGTGGGAGGGAGAGAGAGAGAGAGAGAAACATTGACGTGAAAGGGACACATCGAGTGGTTGCCACCCACACGACCCAACCAGGGCTGAGGATAAACTGCAACCGAGGTACGTGCCCTTAGCGGGAACCAAACCCAAGTCTTTCTGGACCGCAGGTCGATGCTCTAACCACTGAGAAAACTGGCCAGGGCAAAAACTTCTATTCTTATAGATTCAGCTTTATATCAGAACCCCAAGAAGGAAGCACTTTAGAATAATATAGGACCAGAACATGTGATTTATTGAAAGAAGTTGATAGTGTTGTATTGTCAGGGACCAGCATTCTTCACAAGTTATGTTGACTTGTGCTGTTAGTTGATGGGGTGGGGGTGGGAGATGTTTTGGTAAAGATTCTCAGACTATATGCATACAATATTCTACTTGTTGAACCTCACTCCACCCAAAATACTCTTCCAATTCTAGACTTGTTGTATTTTTCCCTTTAAGTAGAATATCCTCTGGCATCCTGTCATTTCCTTTTCACATTCCAAATCAAGTTTGAACTTTTCTGTGATCTTTCAGGTGGCTCCTACCATTAGTTATTTTATGGTGTTGATGTTTTATACATTAATGTTTTAGCTCCCAAACTGATTCTAAGATCCCCAAAAGCAGGACATTAAAAATATTTTTCTTTATTAATTTTTAGAGAGAGAGGAAGGGAGAAGGAGAGAAAGAGATAGAAACATCTATGAGCGAGAACATCAGTTGGCCGCCTCCTGCATGCCCCCCACTGGGGATTGGGCCCACAACCTGGGCTAGTGCCCTGACCAGGAATCGATCTGGTGACCTCCTGGTGCATGGGTTGATACTCACTAGTGAGCACACTGGCTGGGCAGGCAGGACATTTTGACAGCACTAGTCAATAAATATTAGATGATTGGTGGTGTAGTTGTTTTGTACAACTCTTTCTATATTCTGCTGCTTAGACTTTTGCATAATTTTTTTCATTTTCAATTTTATTTTATTTTTAAAATATGTGAAGTGTTACATGGTTCAAAAGTTAAAAACCTTTTATAGGTATAATCAGAGAAGTCTCACTTTCATATCTAGCCCTTCTACCCAGTTTGCCTCTCACCCCCATAGTAACTATTTTCATTAGTTTCAGATTGATATTTCTATTGTTTCTTTTTGGGTGGGTGGTGGGGAAGCAAATGCATGGGTACATACTCATACACACTCTCTTATACAAAAGATAGCATGCTATATAGATTATTCTACACCTTATTTTGACATTTTCATACTTTTGTACAATTTTCATTGAGTGGATGGAAATACCATAGTTTTTTCAGCTAGGTTTGTATTAGTGGACATAATGGAAATTTTTTTTTTTAATCCTCATTTGAGGATATTTTTCCATTGATTTTCAGATAGAGTGGGAGGGAGGAAGGGAGGAAGAGAGAGAGAGAGAGAGAAGCATGAATGTGAGAGAGACACATTGACTGACTGCCTCCCCCACAACCCTGTTCAGGGCTGGGAACCAAACCGCAACTGAGGTACGTGCCCTTGACTGGAATCGAACCCGCGACTTTTTGGTCCACGCACTGACGATCCAACCACTGAGCCAAACTGGCCAGTGCTTTTTTTCTCTTTTAAATAATGTTACCATGAATAACCCTGTACATGGGTTATTTTATAATTGTGGAGGTTTTTTTTTTTATTATTATTATTTTTTCCTCACCCGAGGACATTTTCCATTTTTTGTTCAGAGACAGAGGGAGAGAGAGAGAAACTTCGACATGAAAGGGACACATCGAGTGGTTGCCACCCGCATGACCAACCAGGGCCGGGGACAAACTGCAACCGAGGCATGTGCCCTTAGTGGGAACCGAACCTGGGTCTCTCTGGACCACAGGCCGACGCTCTAACTGCTGAGTCAAACCGGCCAGGGCGTTTTTTAAATTTTTAATTTTATTATTATTGATTTGAGACAGAGAGAAGGAGGGAAGAAGAGAGAGAGAGAGAGAGAGAGAGAGAGAGAGAGAGAGAAAGAGAAAGAGAAACCATGCATAGATTTGTTGTTCCACTTATTTAATCATGCATTGGTTAAATCTTGTATGTGCCCTAACTGGGTATCGAAACCACAACCTTGGCATATCAGGATGATGCTCTAACCTATTGAGCTACCTGGTCAGGATATGGATGCTTTTCTTAAAGGAGACCTCACAGTCATTTTCATTGAAATTCATGATCTTTCTTAAGAAAATATTGCCAACTAGAGAGACATATATCTGTAGGTATCTGTATGTGTGCTAATGAGAGGAAGTTTTTTTTTTATTATAGCATTTACACTTTTTTTTTTAATCCTCACCCGAGGACATTTTTCCATTTTTTGTTCAGAGAGAGAAAGAAACATCGATGTGAAAGGGACACATCTAGTGGTTGCCACCCACATGACCCAACTAGGGCCGGGGACATACAGCATCCACAGTACGAGCCCTTAGTGGGAACCTAACTCCTGACACTCTAACCGCTGAGCCAAACCGGTCAGGGCACATTTAAACTTTTTACATGTCTTCATTCTGATACTATTGCCTCATTAACTCTCCTGGGATTATTAAGGCTAGTTTTGGTGTTTTCTCTAATCAAGAATGCCTTCTCGCCCTGGCTGGTTTGGCTCAGCGGTTAGAGTGTCGGCCTGCGGTCCTGAGAGACCCGGGTTCGGTTCCCGCTCGATGTGTTCCTTTCACATCGATGTTTCTCTCTCTCTCTCTGTGTTCCTTTCTCTCCCTCCCACTCTACCTGAACAAAAGGTGGAAAAATGTTCTCGGGTGAGGATTTAAAAAAAAAAAAAAGAATGCCTTCTCATTTTTCATATTAATATTGTTAAATAAATAAATTTCAGTACCCATTAAGTCAGGCATTGTGTTAGGTGCTTTATCTTGTGAGATGGTATTTCATTTTACAGAGGAGAAAACTGAGGCTCAGAAAGGTCAAGTCCAATGGACATAGACAACAAAGCTGGGGATGGGGTGGGGTGGGGGAAATGGGGAGGAGGGTGTCAATGGGGGAAAAAGGAGAAACATCTGTAACAAAAATAAATTAATAAAAATAATTAAAAAAAAAAGAAAGGTCAAGTCATTTGCCCAAGGTCATACAGCTAGTGAATGGTGGAGCCAGAATGTGAACCTAAGTTTCTGTAAGTCAAAGACTGCATTCTTATACAATACCTCACTCTTGGTTGTAGCAGATATATTCTATAATCATAGTTGTCTTAAAAAAATTTTTTTTTTTCTTTATTGATTTTTAGAGAGAGAGAGGAAGGGAGAGGGAGAGAGAGATAGAAACATCAATGAGAGAGAACATTGATTGGCCACCTCCTGTATGCTCCACACGGGATCAGGCCCACAACCTGGGCATGTGCCCTGACCGGGAATCAAACCAGTGACCTCTTGGTGCATGGGTCAACAACACTCAACCATTGAGTCACACCGGCCGGGTTCATAGTTGTTTTCATGAAACCTTTTTCATTTTTTTGTCGCAGACTATCCTTTCCCCCCTGTTTCCTGATTGTCAAAACAGTTTGGAAATTTTTTGTAACAGATAGAATTAAGGTTTCATTTAGATAATCTTTGGATTAGTTTGTTGATCATTTACTTTGATATTGGTGATTTGGGTGTTGGTGATACCTTAACTGAACAAATAAGTTCTAAGCAATCTGATAAGACCTAATCTCTGCTTTAATGCTTTCTAGGGTTTTTCTCATCTTTTTCTTGGCCCTGCATAGGTTTTTATTTTCCCTCTCATGACTGTGGGAGTAACAACTCTTTTCCTATGAACTTGGGTGAACATGTTACAGTGGGTCATGCTACGTGGTTGTGAGAATAGGAACTCTTCACATTTTCCCCATGTCCCCCAACACACACATACATGTGGATGCTGAGTAATGGTGGGGACAGTTAACATTAGAATCCCTAACGAACGGGCTGAAAAAATTGAGAAGAATGAAAAACAATGAAGATGGGATTCAGGGAATGGCGCCTCACTGTAGACTGTGTGGATAGACAGAACAGCATAGGGATTAAAAATGTGAACTAATGCCTACTGGCTGGGTTTGAGCCCTGGCTCCACCATGTAAGAGCTATAAACCTTGGGTAATTACCCTTTTGGGGCTTCATTATTATATTGGGGGTAATAATATCTATCTCAGAGTTGTTGTGAGGACTAAATGAGGTGAGGCTTGTAAAGTACTTGACCCGTAATAATTGTCTAACAAATGTTATCAATATGCAGGGTCACAGGAAAATGACAAGGAACATCTAGATTCCATGCACATGGCATTTGTCTTAATATATTTCCTTAATCCTAAGATGTACTTTTTTATGTTTTAATATTATTAAAATAAAAATGTTTAAGTCAGTGAGCACATTTAATGGAGTAGGCAAGCTTTTTCCTCAACCACTGTTAATTCATTCAATAGCATATCTTCCAATTGCAAAAATAAGGTATTGTTTATGGCTGAATATATGATTTATATCATATGACCTGGTATTTAGTAGTAGCCCATTCAACAACACAGATTGCCTGTAACACACTGTTAACTATAGTAGCTATTAGTTTTTGAGTGATTCTGTGTTTGACTACAGGGGAGAAAATGTTTTGGTTGACTGTGTAGAGATTTGCACAAAACACAGAAGGCATATATTCCTAATGTCATTTACATGACTTTAAGTTGGTACCCATAGCCTCTTTTCCATTTCAGGTATATCCTGTGAAATAGATAATTCTGAAAGATTTCAGGATGAAGGACACCTGAAATCTTCCTTAGTAGAGGTTTTGAACCTCATATTTTATAATTTGTTTTCATATTCACCTGCATCTGATATCTTTGACACTTAAATTTTGGATTATATGATTGCTTTGTTTAACTTCTTGGGAAACGTTGTAATGAGACCTTTTCCTTCCAATTTTATAGGTTATTTAGCGGTTTCTTTATTTCTACATGAAAGTCATGAACTGTTGCTTCTCCTTGTGAATACAGTCGTAAAGGTACTGTATTGTCTTTTGGCTATTACAGAGTCTGAAATTATTTCTGTAGGCATCTGACATTTTTCCTCAATCATATTGAATTAGATATTTTGGGAAGAAGGTAGGCTTACAGAATGGACTTAGAAAGATCTTTTAGATCAGGTTCTGTATCTGTAAAATGGGGATAATAATAGAAGTTACATTGTGAGGGTTAGATGAAACACTGTGTAAAGTAGTAGGTGCTACTGCTGCTTTTACTGTTTCATTTAAAAAAGCAGTGTTAGACTTATAACTGAGATATCCAGGCTCTCAGTTCAGTGTATTTTTATGCTGTTGTCTCTTTCTCTGGGATCTGTTCCAAAGTGATATAGATTTAAGCTGAATAATTTAAGTATTTTAAACTCTAGAAGCCATTTTAAAGGAGAATAGAGTATAATTAGATACCTGGAATGTACATATAATAAAAACAATTTAATCCACACTTACAATATTTTTTCCTGTTAAATTTTTAATAAAAATTGGTAATGAAGTATAATTGAATTATTGAGCATTTTCATTTTTTATCTTGTGCCAGTCTTTTGACATGTAGGTCCGTGTGTGTGTGTGTGTGTGTGTGTATGTAGTACTTTCTGAAGTTTAAGTCATTACTCTATTAAGGTTACTAGTAGCTTAAATTTTTCCAAACTTTTACAATATGTTTTCAGTTGCTATTAAAATGATTTATAAAATTTGTGCATATGTAAGTATGTATGAATGCATGCATTTTACTGTGTATATTTAAGAATTATTTCCTTTTAAACTTGCACTCATAATATTGCTTAACCAGAAAAATTCATAAGATTGGTTTATTATTAGTTTAGAAAAATTTTAAAAGCTGTTATAAAGGAGACCACTTTGGCCAGTGTTAGAACAGAAATGCAGTTTCCTTTTGGATCAGTTGCTTTTTGGCTGTGTTTAGCTATTGACTGTTACGGAAAATGAAACAGGGATATTCCTATAAAATATGAGGTAAGCACGAATGTACAAATTAATTATAAAGTTAGTAGAAAACTGTTAATTATGTGGGACCCTTGCAGTGTTGAGCTCACTATCCTTAGTTTTGAGATTTGCACTGAATGTTTTCTTTTCTTATAATTATGTTAGGACTTGCAGAGCACTAACCTGGTGGAAGTATGTATGGCACTTACTATTGTCAGCCAGATTTTCCCTCGGGAAATGATTCCAGCTGTTCTTCCGTTAATAGAAGATAAACTGCAACATTCTAAGTAAGTACATTCTTTTTGGATAGGTGTATACACTATATACTTCAAAACAAAAATTTATACTCAGAATTTATTATAACTAACTTAATGTTACCAACTTAGAGGATATTCTTTGTAATATAAAATGCAAAAATCCCCAGTAGCATTTTCTTTTATTTTTACGTGAGTTTAGAAAAATATTAGGCAGCTTTCTAAAGTTAAACTGAGAGGCAGTGAGGAGCTTAGTGTCAGGAATTCTTGGCTTTCCTCCCACTTCTACCACTAACCAGCATTGGTCCTGGTTTTCCCTTGACTGTGGGATTGGTTGAAGCTCCTTAATTCTCACAAAGTTGTTTTGAGGATAAAGTGAAATAATGGAAAACACTTGGAAAGAGTTCAAGTGCTATGGGTGCAGATAGCTTCAGTGTATTGGGGGTGCTTTTATATTAAAACTGCTGTATTTAGCCCGACCGGTGTGGCTCAGTGGTTGAGCATAGACCCATGCACCAAGAGGTCACCGTTTCTATTCCCAGACAGGGCACATGCCCAGGTTGTGGGCCCCATCCCCAGTGAGGGGCATCCAGGAGGCGGCTAGTCGATGTTCTCTCTCATCCATGTTTCTATCTCTCTCTCCCTCTCTCTCTAAAATCAATAAAGAAAAAAATTAAATAAAATTGCTGTATTTAAATTTTATTTTACAATAGAATATATCCTGATAAACCTTAACTTGTAGTATTTTGCTAATCTTATTCTGTAAGGTTCCTTAACTCTCTCCTTAATGCTTGGCTCATTTTTACACCCACTTGAATTATTTTGTTTTTGACCATATCCCTTACTTTCTAACCTTTAAAACTAGGAAAGAGTTTGCAATTGTTTTCCATTTTTTCTTTGTGATTATAGTATTTTAGTAATGTGTACATTATCGATAAAGATTTTTTTTGTTATTCAACAATATTTCTTTATTTAATATGCTTCTATAAGTCAGTAATTTTAGTGTTCTAAGATTATAAAATGTTGGCTTATGATTTGTATTTTTAAAGAAATAACTAAATGTTAGTTTTACTAAGAATAGTAGAATACTTTCATAGGTTTTTCAGACTTGGTAGAATGTTTTGTTTATGTCAAATATATATTTTGAACAAATGATGGGTATTGACAATTAATTACTGGAAACATTAGTTTTTCTTAGATAATTATAGGTTGATCTGGTCATAACAGAGCATATTTTTATATAAAATTTTTTCATACCACCACTATTTTGTGGTAATCACACTTACTAACTTTTTGTATGAAATCCTGTTGAGAGTAGATTTTTTTTCTTATTGCTTCCCATTTACCCTTTCTTTTTTTAAAAAAATATCTTTTATTGATTTTTTTTTTTTAGAGAGATTTAGGGAGAGGGAGAGAGAGAGAAACATTGATGAGAGCCCTGGCCAGTTTGGCTCAGTGGTTAGAGTGTTAGCCCACGGACTGATGAATCGTGGGTTTGATTCCAATCAAGGGCACATATCTTGGTTGCTGTTTGTTCCCAGTCCTGGTCGGGTCGTGTGGGAGGCAACCAGTTGATGTGTCTCTATCACATTGATGTTTCTCTCTCTCTCTCCCTCTCCCTCCCTCCCCCTCCCTACCCCTCCCCCTCCCTCCTTCTCCCTTCCACTGTATCCAAACAAAAATGGAAAAATGTCCTCCTGTGAGGATTAAAAAAAAAGAAAGAAAAGAAACATCAATGAGAGAGAAACATCAGTTGGCTGACTCCTACATGTCTCCTATTGGGGATCGAGCCCAAAACCCAGGTATGTGCGTTGACCAGTAATTGAACTGGTGACCTCTTGGTGCATGGGTTGACGCTCAACCATTGAGCCACACTGGATGGGCCTCTCATTTACCCTTTCAAATTTTTTTATTTCTTTCCATCTACTCTAATTTTAAAAAAAATTATTGAGGTATTTTATTATTATTATTTGTAATTTGTATTAATTTATTTTTGTTACAGATGTTTCTTTCCCCCTCCATTGACACCCTCCTCTCCATCCCACCCGCCGTCCCCCCAGCATTGTTGTCTATGTCCATTGGTTATGCATACATGCATATAAGTTCTGTGGTTTATCTTCTCTCTCCCCCACCCTGTCCCCCTCCTCTGAGATTTGTCAGTCTGTGTCCCACTTCCATGTCTCTGGGTCTATTTTATTTGTCAGCTTGTATTGTTCATTATATTCCACAAATAAGTGACATCGTGATATTTGTCTTTCTCTGTTTGGCTTATTTTGCTTAGTATAATACTCTCCAGGACCCTCCATGTCATCTCAAAGGATAAGAGATCCTTCTTTCTTACAGCTGCATAGTGTTCCATTGTGTATATGTACCACAGCTTTTTTTTTTTTATTTTATTTTTTTATTTTATTTTTTTATTTCTTTTTATCCTCACCCGAGGACATTTTTCCATTTTTTTTTTGTTCAGATAGAGCGGGAGGGAGAGAGAGGAAGAGAGAGAGAGAGAGAAACATCAATGTGAAGGGACACATCGAGTGGCTGCCACCCGCACGACCAACCAGGGCCGGGGACAAACTGCAACCGAGGTACATGCCCTTAGCGGAAACCGAACCCGGGTCTCTCTGTACCGCAGGCCGACGCTCTAACCCCTGAGCCAAACCGGCCAGGGCGAGTTACTGCATTTTAAAATTTTGGTTTCCTTGAGAAAATTCCTAGCTTGTTTTTATTTCAATTTGGCCTGTTCTCTCTCTCTCTCTCTCTTTTTATTTTTATTTATTTATTTATTTATTTATTTATTTTTTATGAATTATTTATTTATTTATTTATTTTTTTGTTACAGATATTTTACCTTTTTACCCCATTGGCACCCCCCCCCCCCCCCCCCCCTCCACCCTGTCCCCGGCTTAGTTGTCCATGTCCATTGGTCATGCATACATGCATATAAGTTCTGTGGTTTATCTCTTCCCACCCCCCCACCCCCCATCCCCTCTTCTGAGGGATGTCAGTCTGTGCCCTACTTCCATGTGTCTGGGTCTACTGTATTCCTCAGACTGTTATGTTCATTATATTCCGTATATAAGTGAGATCATGTGGTATTTGTCTTTTTCTGCTTGGCTTCTTTCACTTAGGATAATACTTTCCAGGTCCCTCCATGTCGTCTCAAAGGATAAGAGATCTTTCTTTCTTACCGCTGCATAGTATTCCATTGTGTATATGTACCACAGCTTTTTGATCCATTCATCTACTGGTGGACACTTGGGCTGTTTCCAGATCTTAGCTATTGTAAATAGTGCTGCTATGAACATGGGGGTACATATATTCTTCCTGATTGGTGTTTTAGGCTTCTTAGGGTATATTCCCAGCAGTGGGATCACTGGGTCAAATGGAAGTTCAATTTTTAATTTTTTGAGGTAGCACCATATTGTTTTCCATAGCGGCTGCACCAGTCTGCATTCCCACCAGCAGTGTATTAGAGTCCCCTTTTCTCCACACCCTCGCCAACACTTGTTGTTTGATGATTTGTTGATGGCGGCCATTCTGACAGGTGTGAGGTGATACCTCATTGTTGTTTTAATTTGCATCTCTCTGATGATTAGTGATGTTGAGCATTTCTTCATATGTCTCTTGGCCATTTGTATGTCCTGTTTGGAGAGGTGTCTATTCAGCTCCTCTGCCCATTTTTTAATTGGGTTCTTTGTCTTCCTTTTGTGGAGTTGTATGAGCACTCTGTATATATTGGAAATTAACCCCTTATCTGATACATCATTGGCAATGATGTTCTCCCATACAGTGGGTTGCCTTTCCATTTTGATGATTGTTTCTTTTGCTGTGCAGAAGCTTTTTAGTTTGATGTAGTCCCATGTGTTCATTTTCTCCTTTATTTCTGTTGCCTTAGGTGATGTATCAGTGAAAATTCTGCTCCGTATGATGTCCGAAATTTTGTTGCCTACATTTTCTTCTAGAATTTTTATGGATTCACGGGTCACATTTAAGTCTTTTATCCATTTTGAGTTTATTTTTGTATATGGTGTAAGTTGATGGTCCAGTTTCATTTTTTTGCATATAGCTGTCCAATTTTCCCAACACCATTTATTAAAGAGGCTGTCTTTACTCCACTGTATGCTCTTGCCACCTTTGTCAAATATTAATTGAGCGTATTGCCTTGGGTCCATTTCTGGGTTTTCAGTTCTGTTCCACTGGTCTATATGCCTGTTCTTGTGCCAGTACCAGGCTGTTTTGGTTACAGTGGCTTTGTAGTATAACCTGATATCTGGTATTGTGATCCCTCCAACTTTGTTCTTCCTTTTCAAGATTGCTGTGGCTATTCGGGGTCTTTTTTGGTTCCATATGAACTTTTGAAGTATTTGTTCTAGTTCTATGAAATATGTCGTTGGTATTTGGATGGGGATTGCATTGAATCTATAGATTGCTTTGGGTAGTATGGACATTTTAATTATGTTAATTCTTCCAATCCATGAACAGGGTATGTGCTTCCACTTTTTTATATCTTCCTCTATTTCTTTTTTCAATGACCTGTAGTTTTCTGCAAATAGGTCCTTTACTTCTTTGGTTAAGTTTATTCCTAGGTATCGTAATTTTTTTGGAGCGATGGTAAATGGGATTGTTTTTTCAGTTTCTCTTTCTGTGAGTTCATCATTGATGTACAAGAATGCCGTCGATTTCTTGACGTTAATTTTGTATCCTGCTACTTTGCCAAATTCATTTATTAAGTCTAATAGATTTTTGATGGAGTCTTTAGGGTTTTCTATGTACAATATCATGTCATCTGCAAATAATGACAGTTTCACTTCCCCCTTTCCAATTTGGATCCCTTTTATTTTTTCTTCATGTCTACCACAGCTTTTTTATCCACTCATCTACTGATGGACAGTTGGGCTGTTTCCAGATCTTAGCTATTGTAAATAATGCTGCTATGAACATAGGGGTGCATATATTCTTTCTGATTGGTGTTTCAGGCTTCTTAGGATATGTTCCTTGAAGTGGGATCACTGGGTCAAATGGCAGTTCAATTT